GGACATTGCACCCTGTTTCCTAGCAGGCATATGAGAAAGGAGGATGCATATTTGCTGGAATATGTGTCCTTTCCTCAGAAAGATGCACAACAAGAGACCCTTTGCTCTACCTCAGTCTTTCCAGGAGGTTCATACCTTTTCTCCTACGGGTCCATCCTCTCCCTTCTCGCCTTTGTCTCCATCAAAACCTGGCAGACCCTGCTCCCCCTGAAAGACAAGATAGAAATTAGGGGATTGCAGCTCCCTGGCAGGACCCACTCTCAGGATGGGCTCTAGAACAGACCACTGGCTTGTAATGTTTTATCCCAGGGAATAACCCCTCTATCAAGGGAGTTTGCCCTAAAAAATATAGCTCAGCCACCCCAGGAGCCACATCTTGCTTGGGTTTTCTAACTAGTCCCCTGAAGTAGAAGCTGGCTGCAGCAATTCTTCCATCTCAGAGCCATATAAACGCCTAGAAACCCAAGCCAGGGTGTGGATGACGTGGATAACTGGGAAGCATCAGTAAAGCAGATGGAAACTGGAACACCCCATGCAAAGACCAAGCTGATGCCACCAGCAGTGAGGAAGGGACAGTTTAAAAAGACAAAGAGACACAAACTTACAGGGTCTCCTTTACTGCCTTTATAGCCTTGGGGTCCAAAAATTGTCCTGCGCTCCCCCTAGAGAATGGAGACACAGCAGAGATGTGGACACACGGTGATCCACAAATTCATGGGTCCAGCTGGGTGGAACCACTTATGCTATGGCTGGCAAAACAGAAAAAAAGGGGTAATTCGTGCATCTGTAATAAAGGAGAGGGTTTCCCAAGTTGTGGTCTATGTAGACTCAGTCAGCGAAAACACAGATGCTCCTCAAAACAGGCTAAAACTTTAGGTTTACTGCCTCCTTAATTGAAATTTGATGATGAATACACTCCCCAAAAAATGAAAGATATGAGGTTTGACACCAAACAAGGTGTCATGGGTGGAAATGGAGTCATGTATGGAGTCAAAGCAAGAACCTCAGCTTCAATTCCTGATCTGGGACTGTCAGGGATAGGAATATTTCTCATATGACATGGTAACTTGACTCCTTCACCTCATGCCACTCAGGACATCAAGTTTTGCACCTTTCCCAAACTTGCTAGATACAGGAGGGACGGTGAGCAGAACTGTCCTGATTTACACAGACGGGTTGGAGTGAAGTGAGAGGAAATGGCCCTTAGAGGTAGTTTTTGAGAGTCAAACTCCCAAACTCTGCCATCCTGAGAGCACCAGTAGCCATGGGCATGCAGTGACCCCATGGACACATCTGTTTTGAATATATTTGTCCGCTCAGTGGTTTTGGATGAGCATTTTCATGGGGAAAAGCCTCCCTCCAAAAGCAAACTGAGCCCCCAGGGCATGCGGAAGGAGGTGAGCACATGGCAGGAAAGTCTGCACAGATAACTGATGAGGCCTTTTCATTTTCACCTTAATTTAAGCAGATTAAGACAAGCTTTCTTTACCTACGCCTTTTGCAACCTTTTGTAGCTCTGTTTGGCTGGATGTCGCATTTTGTTGCATCCTAACCCAGCTAAAGGATGGTAACTGGATAACATCTACACTTAGAGGCAAATTATTCCTCAAAACTGGGACACTGCACACAGGACAGACCCAGGGGGTTCATTCTCTGATTATTATGGGCAAGACATGAAGGCAGAAGGGAAAAATCTCTTTTGGAAGATTTTTAGCTCTGATTTGGGTGGCGAGTGCAGCAGGCACTCAATGCTTTGCTATTCCTGTTAGCAGGATACAGCATTAATTTTCTTGGCTACTCAGAAAGACAAATTAACCCCTTGAAGGCCAGTAATGCTCCTTTTTAGCCTTCTCTGACAGTTCCAGCCCATTTGGAAAGGAGCCTTTTAAAACCATCACTCTCCAGTGATGCAAATGTCCCTGTGTTTTGGGTGACTTTGCAGTGCCACTGAGTCTCAAAAAACACACCACAAATGCCCCAAAATTTGCGATCACTTTAGCAATTTACAGAACCACCTTCAACGCCATGTGACCCAGATTAAATTCTAGCTTTATATACTCTCTTGTTTTCTTGCTCTGGAGGGTCTCTAAAGGACACAGAATTCAGTTCAATAGATTTTAGGGAAAAAAAAAAAAAGAGTATAAAGATCCTGACTTTGATCTGATATAGGACCAAGATCCACACAGTTCCTCCAATATTGATCAGGAGAGAGTTAGAAAGTTAACCTGCCATCAGGTGAAACAAATCCAAGCCAATTATCTCCCTCACCTCCTGTTTTTAATCTTGCACTCCACCTTATCTTTTATTAAGGTGTTCTTTAGAAAAGGCGTTACACATTCCTTCAGGTTGGAAAGCGGTTTTGGAGCCTCTTCACAAAGCAGATTAAGAATTGATTTGTCTCTGGAGCGAGTCCCTTTAGAAAGTAGTTTCCTCAGAGACAAATCAGCCTTAATCATTTAATACTGCATGACTCAAAGGCACAATCATCATGCTAGTTTTCTAAAACTCATTTTCTAACAAGTCATTTCGGCCAGGAAGGAAGTTAAAAAACACTGGGCAGAAGTTCAGCATTTTTCTGTAGTGAGGGCTGGAGCACTTTCCAGAATCATTCTGCGAGTTATTTTCGCATTATCTGCTATGAGCAAACTCAGGCTCTTTAAGATTGCAGCGTGCTCTGGGGCAAGCTGGTTATCCCAGAGTCATTGGATACCTTCACATCCTCCCTTAATTTGCAGGAAGCATTCCGATGCCCCAGAAAATAGCTGCCAAAATTACTACTTTTTGTTGTTGGCGGTGCTGATGACGGCAGGATGTCTTCAAATCGATGAGACAAACTTCATCTGGGGCAGTGTTCAGTACAAGGAAAAACTCAACAAAATGGATGGAAACCAGTGGGGGAACTCTAGAAGAAAGGGGGCAAGTCTTCTTCTAAGTCTTCCACTGCCTACATGGGAATTATAGAAAGGATGGATCCAGATTCTTCTTGGAGGTGCCCAGTGAAAGGACAAATGGCTACAGAAACAAGTTGTAATGAAACTCCTGTTAGATGTAAGGAAAAAACTCTACTTCATAGGGGTGGCCAAACAGGGGCACAGAGAAGCTCACATTTTCAAATGAGCAATCTGATCTGACTTGGAAGTTCAGTGGGGTTGGACCAGGGGCCTATTCCACTGTGGATTATTTTGTGATTTTAAAATGAAACCTCCCTGTGGGTGATCCCTCTTACAGTGCTGCTCCTGGACACAACTGCCTCAGATCCCCCAGATTTTCTTAGTAAAGGCATCCTGATCCAGACATATGTTCCCATGCTGTTCCCGTTGCTGATCAGAGGTGGGATTTGAAGCTTTCTTAGATGAGATGTCTTTGCACACTGCTGTCTGTGATCCTGGTTCAGAGCTCCATCCCGGATGGGCTACACTCATCCACAGCTGGCAATATGAATCCTTTACAATTGCTACTATCCCAGATATTCAAAAACATATATATATATATGTTTAACATTTGCATCTCTCTCTTGTTGGGTCACTGACTTGTTCAGAGATCCCTTCATCTGCCCACTGATAATTATAAAATCCTGTAAACCTTTTTTACCCCATCTTCCCCAGAAAGTCACAACCTGGAATGTCCTTACTCTTTCTCCCTTGGGTCCCAGAAGTCCCCGATCACCCTAAACACAGGAAAAAAAAATACAGTGAGTGATTCCCTTTTTTACTTGCTCTTGCCCTGTTGCTCAGCATCCTGCTTTGCACAAACCACTAAGATATATCACAGTTGGAAGCCACATCCTCCAGACACTCTGCACAGCAATTAGTTTATCACAGGAGATTGTACACAACTGGAATGTGAACATGGACAAAAAAATAAAGACCCAGGGGACTGAGGTGGTTTGGCTGACTCTGTCCTCAGCGTGTCTACAATGTGGAGCTAGAAATAGATTTCAACATAACCTCTCCACACTATAGGGCTATGCCTACTTCTCAGATGCTCAAAAGCATCCTAGATGATACTGGATTTCCCAAATTTCAGCCTGAAATCTTGCATCCCCTATCAAAAGTGTACAAAATGTTAGCTGTTCCTGAAGGCCTGCTCCCCCTGTTATGCATGAGGATTGACTGGAGCATACTAGGGACCCTTCCCTGTCTCAAATCCTGTTTTCTTCCAAAAAAAACAAGGCATGCAGAATAATAGACACCCAAGTCTTATCTCAGCCCATCTCTTACATGGGGCTGCTAAAGTCACTTCTTGCTTCCACACATACTGGTTCAATTCCCTTCCCAAGGGAATAGTGTGGGATTATCCCCTCTGTCTTGGCACCAGGAGCATGAGGCGTCCCCAGCAAAAGGCTTCCCTGCAAAGGTGCCCTTCTCCCGAGGACTCCGCTTGTGCACTTTATAGATACGATGACCATGGCTTACTCTTTCGCCTTTCACACCTGGGAGGCCTTTTGGACCCTGCAAAGGACATAAAACAACATTGTAAGACAAACAGCAGGGGAGAGCTGTCTCGAAGGTCAGGCTAAACCACCTAGAAGCTGCTGCTCTGAGGGATCCTCACAGAAGCCTATAGTCTTCTTCTCACCAAGGGCAATCTGAGAAGATGTAAGGGGCAGCACATTTGTATTATACCAGGCCAATTTGCCCTTGGCTTCAACCCATGGTTGTATCCCAGACACAACGCAGGGCTTCAAATATGAGACCAAGGATGAATCCAGGCACTGCAGTTTCTCTTGGCTTTCTGAATTGCTGCATAAAAGCCTTTTGTGCTAATGATAATGGCTTGATTCTATTAATGATAACAGATAATAAACAAAACATGTTTGCAGATGTATTGGTTGTGATCTGTGGCTTTCCTGACTCAGTCGCCAGGCAGGGAAGAAAAGAATTTACGACAGAACGAAAGGCTGAAATTCATGCAAGCAAGTAGACATGACAAAGAAGAAAAGAAAGGCAGTGCTCATTTTGAAGGACTTCAAATGTGCCTCGTAGATGAGTCAGCCAAATGGACAAGAGCATAAAGCAATTACACTCAGCATGACAGCTTATGTTTTATATCTACCTACAGGATTTACGTTCACGAATCCCATTGGAATTCAGGCTCATGGAGTTTCTATTTCTCACTGAAAGCATTAAACTGGAGGTATTTTGCCAGCTGTGAGCCATTGTTTTCTGTACCATCAAATTGGCTCTGTCTTGTGCTAACACTTACCACGATGCCGACGGGGCCTTGAACTCCCACGATGCCCTCGTCACCCTGTTAGCAAAGAGAGGTGTCGTGATGGCTACCAGCAAGGAGAAGTGCGGATCAAAAGCAGTCCTGTCTCTGCAAACCTGCTCCCTGGAGGCAACAGGATCCTCAAAGGAATTGTTCAGCCTCATTCACTGGGTTAGGTGCCTTAGTGCTCCTATGGAGCTGGATCAAAGGGCCTGAAGAGCTCTCAACATATCACTGCAGGTAGACAACGCATTCAGTTTTTAGGGAAGGATGCTCTGGGCATCTTCAGGCCACCAGAGGTAGGAACCATCCTGCCTAATTGCTAATATTTATATGTAAATGCCTATCGCTTGTTTTCTTGGGCTTCCTCTTCAACCTCTGAGAGAAGCAAGTATTAGTAGGACTTAATTTAACATGACATTAATCACTCCAAAATGGTGCCTCTTTCACTCCCTTGGGATGGAGAGACCCTGAAGCTGGATGGTCCAGTGCATCCCAAGCTCCATCTGTATCTGCCTATGCAGGGAGACTGGTGGGATGCAGGGGCGGAGGGATGGGAGGAGATGTTAGAGCTGTTCCCAGATTAGGGGGAGTTTTCCCTTCACCCCATTACAGGGCTCCACAGCTTTCCTGCACATCCATCCTTTCCTCAACATGCTACTGTGCTTATTTCAACAGGACTCAGCATCATAAATACAGCAGGCAGGATTTCACCTGGAATCCCACACCATTGATTTTCAGAAGATGCCACCAGGCACCAGATCAATGGTAACTTGTGTTTTCTGGGGACAAATGTGAGCACTTCTTCACGTCTGGCAGTGGTTTCCACGGCAGGATTTCACCTGGAATCCCACACCGTTGATTTTCGGAAGATACCACCAGGCATCAGATCAATGGTAACCTGTGTTTTCTGGAGAAAAATGTGAGCACTATCTTCACATCTGGCAGTGGTTTCCAGATGCTGTAGAAAGTATTTGGAGCCTAAAGTGTCTCCCTCTCATTTAGGAGAGCAACTGCAGATCACAGTGTGATCCTAGAAAATCACAGGTCTCCTTCCCTGCAGGAACTAGGCAAAGAAGCTGAGTTTTATACAAGGTAGACATTGCCTCCATGTGAGGCCCAATTCTGATCTCAAATAGGAATCCAATGTTATTTGAGATTCTGTGCTTCACTCTAGATTTATACGGGAGCCAGAAGAGCAGAAACATTATTTCATCATTTCCTTCAGATAATAAAACTTCATTGAGGTTTACCCCAGACCTTCCACAGCTGTTGACATTCTCATTAAGTGTTTTGTCTCAGGGGCCTCACTGAACAGTTCTGCTGCCAGATGGGGAGTTTATCTAAATAGATTGCAACATAAAATCAGTTTATTTGTGAAACAGCCATAGAAGCGGTTGAAATTGAAGCATGGCCTCTCCTTGTGACTCAAGAGGGTCTCCCTTGTTTCTCAACCAAAGTTTTTTTCTACAGGATGAGGGGAAATGGGTGTTGCTGCCCCAAGGATGAGGGACCAAGCTGAGCTCCCTCTGCCAGAAGGCCAAGGGAGAGGATAAAGGATACATGGGAGGTGGATTCCTAAAGAGGCAAGCTTGCAGGTAGCAAATTCAAAGCATTCAGAATAAGATAGTTCTTGACCAAGCTGGTAGGACTCAGCTTGACATTAAGACACTCAGATGTAGGGACGTGCGTATCTGAGCTCTCATGTGGATGCTCAACTGATACTGTCAAGGGTCAGGATCTACTTGGCCATGCAGTTGCCTGGAGCTACCTGAAATGCTCCAGGGTATCTGAGGAATTGCACACCTACCCGAGGGCCAGGGAGGCCACGGGGACCTCTTGGGCCAGCTGCTCCAAAGCCAATTTCTCCCTGCAGAGCAAACAGAGGTCTCAGTTGGAGCAAGCTCACCATATCTCTTTATTGCTAATTACTTTAGGAAGAGGTTAACATAGGAAGAGGCGAAAGACTCACTTTTCTGCTAGATCATTATTTTGCAAAGCGAGTTCGGTTCAAGGTTATTGGATCAAGATCACTGCCTGCTCCCCATACAATTAATGCCCTGAAGCAAAGGTGGCAAAACTGGGCAACACCAGCCACTTCCAAATAGTCCATAGACATCTCAGAGCTTAGAGTGCTCACAGCCAGTGATATACTCATTTTTCCAGCAGCTGGCAAGAAATCTTGTGCACCCCCAGACCAAAGAGCACAAGATGAGAATCCCATGCATGGTCGATGTGCAGCACACTGTGCTCTAGCCTTTCAATGCCCATCTTCTAGCAGCTGCTGGTGTAGAGCAGAGAGCAGCACACACACAGCACCTTACATGTGCCTGCTTTCCCCTCAGGATTGATGTTACTGCTGGTGGGACTGCTGGTCCTCCCAGTAAGGGAAAGGGCTGGGGCACTCATTCCTCTCCAGACACCAGAGAATCCACAAAGGAGGCCAAAATCAAAAACCAGTGTTCATATTTTACCCCCATGCGCCCCAGCTACCTTGAGGAAGGAGGGCATGAGGATGAAAGAGGGTTGAAGCATCTGGATGGGGTTGGGGATGAGGAGCCGAGGGAGGGTAGAGGGCTCTCCCATTGCTACCCCAAGATCGTGGCTACTTGTGGCAGTGTGGCACTCACCTTGTTGCAGTGTGGCACTCACCTTGTTGCCTTTGGGGCCAGGTGCCCCGGGAACGCCCTGCAGGACAAGGAAAATAAATCAGAAAAGCGGACCTGGCTTTGCAAGGCCTTCAAGCTCTCCTGTCCCACTCAGTGCTCTGGAAGGGTCAATGTACACCCAGCCCAATCACCAGGGCTCAACCTCCCTCTGGCTCATAGAAAGGGCCAAGAAGCCCTGCCTGAATGCAGATGCAGAAAGCAGGGGGAGCAAAGAGACCTATGCAATGGGAGGGTTGTGGGAACCAACAGCCAAGGGATGCTCTTAAGATCCCTTTCCCAAAGAACTTCTCCCCTTCCACCTGCAACTCCAGGCTGAATCTCTTCTTTGCCTCCCAGCTATCTCCTCCCCATGAAGCCTTCCAGGGATTGGGACCCCTGGCAGTTTGAATTCAGTGATGCTCCCAGGAGATGTTTCTCTCACCCCGCAAGAAGGACCGTAGCATAGAGGGAGTATCACAAAGCTTCCACAGCTCAAAAGACACAGTGATGATGTGTAAGTCACCTCTTTTCCTGGGAATCCTGCAGGTCCAGCTGGCCCGGTGAATCCATTCCGTCCCCTCTTACCACGCTCCCCCTTGAACACAAAATTTTTTAAGAAGGAAAACACCCTGGTGGGAAGTTCCAAGCTGGCTAGAAAGCATGAATCTGTGCTCCTACATGTTCCCTGGGCTGGCAGCAAACTGAAGGAATAACTTGTAAAAATGCTGCAATATCATGTACAACAAGTTCTGCGACTGAGCTGGTCCCCGTGTGGACCTCTTCCTTGTAGAGAAGAGAGTGCAAAATGTGGTTCTGTTTTGCCTGTATGAAGGATACAACCACTGCCCTTATCCGATCTCTTAGGGCAGAAAATCAGCTAATCTGCTTAAGGCCTTGAGAAGAGGCTGCAGCTACATCAGAGAGAAGGGTCACCCTGGCTTTTGCTGCCAGTGATGCTCCAAATGTCTCACAGACTCCCAGGACATGAGTGTGGCTTTAAGCCTCTCTTCAGGGCCCCTACTATCGTAGACTATCAGAGAGAGAGTGAGTTTGCACGTGCAAACGTTGTACCTGCTTCCCTGCTCAGCTGCTATGGTCCTGGAGACGTAGGGAGGAGATGGCTTGAACTGCAGTAGACACCCATGAGGACAGTCTCAGTAGGACTATCATTACTCTCGCATTGAGGAGGTTAACATGATGCAGCACAGGTTCCTCTCACCACACTCCACTTACCTTCTGTCCTGGTACCCCAGGCAGACCTGGTGTCCCTCTCTCCCCCTGAGATCCGGGGATGCCGGGGTTGCCACGAATGCCTTGGATGCCCTGGGCTCCTGGAGGTCCTGGGGCCCCTGGCTCACCCTGTTGCCAAGGAATCATATGAATCATCCATGAAAACACTGTATCTTCCATCCCTGTTCTGTCTTGATTTAACTTTCTTTTGTGCAGGAGTTCATAGGTCTGCCCATCTAGCAAGTCTACATGAGGAACCTACTCAACCTAAGCTCATCCCATATCCAGCTGCATCTTCTTTACTGTGGAGACATCAGCAGCTCTGGACAATGCAGATCCTAGGTAGGATTAACTGCTCCCAGGAGGTGCCATTGGTCATGGAGGAAGCCTGGGGAGTCTCTGTGAACGCACATGATCCTTGCACACAAGTGGAGCCAATGCCTCCTGTTCATCCCCGAAGTAGGGATCCTAGATCTTGAGAAGAAGGGGCTGTACCATTGCTTGCTAAGTGAGGACCCCTTATCTGCAGACCCACAGTGCTCTGTAGTGATTCAAATCCTGCTTGCCTGCAGTGTCTCATAGGATCTCAGAAGCCCACCTCTCCCAAGACTGTAATTCCCTTTTCTTTTTTTCAACATCCATGTTTATCCTCTGCACCCAAAAGAAACATCCACTCTGAAATGGCCCCTTGCAGGACACAGAGCTGTCTCAGACCCAGGTGGTTTGACATGTGATGGTGTTTTGGCTATCTTAGGTTGGGTCTGGCTTTGGTGGCTTATCTTTTCAGTCTGAATCAGCTCCACGACACAACCTAGTAGTGGAAGGATCAGCAAGGATTACAATGACCCCAAAAAACCCACATGAGAAGCCATCTAAACAAGAAGAAAGGCTTACCTTGTATCCAGGGGGCCCAGCCTGGCCAGTGGGGCCTCTGAACCCAATTCCTGGTTCTCCCTGAGAAGAAAAGAAGATCAGGAAAAAGCAACCCCGCTCTTTCCACCGTGGACTTGACAACCTCAGAGTTTGCTTCATCCTGCTCGTTAAACATCCAGCTGAACCCCCTCAGAGCAGATCACACATTGAGGACTACAGAGTCCTTGCTCACGATCTCATCTTCTCTAGATGGTGATAAGTACGATCTGATCTTTTCTTGGAGAGTCAGAAGATTGATTGTGGGAATATTACAGAATATAGTGTCAGAGGGCTCTGGGTAAGACTTGTATCTTCTAACATTACTCGTTATAAGGTAGGTGTCCTGTCCATGTGAGTCAGCTGGAGTCCATCTCTAATCAACACATCCCTCATCCAGCTTTCCCAGTGAGTGACCCATCCCAGCCATGCTGAGCCCACATCTCAGGATGAAAGGAGGTTACCTGGGCACCTCACTGAGATGGTTAAGTGAGATACAGGAAAAGGAGAGAAGCCATGGAGGGAGAGCAGAAGACAAGTTCTCATGGTGTAAGACCATGACCATGGTACTAAAGTTGTTCTTTACCTTCTGACCATTTTCACCTCTGTCTCCTTTGGGTCCCTATGAAATGAAAAGAGAGTTACCAAGCCTGTGATTCCTCCCACGAGCAGAGGTCATGTGAATGATAACTTTAGAGTGAAGATTTCTTGTCGTGGTCATAGCAGAGTGGGGCAGGTGACAGCTCAGGGATGCCTCTGACCTCCACCTCTTGCCTCCTTTGCAGAGGAGGTGGAAACGACTATGTGACCAAGGAAGAGCCAAATGCCCTAACACAGAGCCACACTGCTCCTGTGAAGGAGAAGGGGTTGATGCAGATAGTGACAGGATCCAAATGGGGACGGGGTGGGTAGGGCCACTTGGGCCACTTAGCTTGAAACACCATCCTGCTCTATCTGCAGCTCCCGATTCCACAGCTCACCTTTTCTCCAGGTTCTCCCATCTCTCCAGGTTGCCCCTGCAAGACAAAAATGTCCCATCTGTTATCTACCTCCCGCCCCTCTCCCATTTCTTCCCACGTGCATGTGTCCTCAGGATGCTGCAGATGACAGGCATTTGAAGACATGCTTCTTGAGCATACACCCCATTAGCCTGTCCTCAACTGTTTCTCCTCTTCCAGACCTTCTTAGCATCCATCTACAGTCCAAAATACCTTGTGTCAATGATTCATCTGCCTTGTATTTGCATATATGCATGCTTCCTTGCCCTTCTCATAACCATCGGAGCCCAACCACCGCAGGAGGAACGTGACAGTGGGGGTAATGAGTTGCCCTCTTGCAGTCTCACCCTCTGACCCTGCTAATGGGGCTGTTAGAGATGGTTTAGGCAGCAGTGGGAGTTGCAAACTGTTCAAAACCTCCTGTCCAAACTCCCTGGAGTCTGTGGAGTGATAGCTACCTTTTCTCCTTTGCTTCCACGGGCTCCTGGAGCTCCCCTCTCTCCCTGGAAAACATCAGGAAACCCCTTCAGTCACAGGCATGTATGTGTAGGAGAGCTGCAAGGAATTTCCCCTGCCCTCTCGGGATCGAGCTGCTGCTGCTCTGGGTCCTGCACCACTTTTTGGCAAATATCTGTTTGTGGAGGGCCCTCTCCCTTCCATCACTTGCACTCCCAAACCAGCTCAGGGACCTGAACTCATCCCTCTTACCCTAAACAGCAAAAATGAACAGATAGGAAACCTAAATTGTGGAATGAGGAAGAGATATGAATGATAAACTGATGTGTCCCTCTCCCAGGACTCTGCAGATGAGTTTGAGGGAGACTGGAGAAGTTCACAGAGGAGCAAACTATTGAGGATCCCTCTGTCGTTGGCCAACAACTGGTCATAGTGGTTGATTGCCAGCCAATTTTTACTCCTAATTCCTGAGTCTCTACATGAGACTGACCTGGGGAATGAATCAATTCTTCCCAGAGCTGTGAGACCTGGGAAGGGAGGCTGGGCAGGTGTGTTTTGAACATGTACCATTCCCGGTGGTGCAAGCATAGATCTTGCAAAACGAGAGACAGTTAAGAGCAAAAAAAAGCAGATACTTCATTTACTCCACTGCTTAGAACTTGCTATGTTTAAGACAGTTAGGTTTGTATAGGGGCTAAGTGAGATTTGTATTTTGACCTCTTTCTTATATATCTGTACTAAAAGGATACATAAAAACACTGACCTTTTGGCTGTGGGAGGGTAGATCCACTGGGCCTATTTCCTGCTTCTGCAAGAAAAAAACATACATACAGAATCCATCTGGGATGCTGAGCAGCAGCAAATGGGCTCAGCCGCATCCTAAGTGACACAGCTGCAGTGACAGGAGCTCTGGGACAGGTACCTTAATTCTCCTGGAACGCTGAGGGCCTGGGTATGTCTTGAATTGGAATAACAAAGAGAGGATGGTGTGAGAATGACTGAATAAATGTTTTATCCCTCAAAGAGTCTCTCAGAGCAGTGAGATGTTGCACAGCAAGTCACTACGGTGCGAGCAATACCCTGACACCTGTCTTAGTTCTGACCTCTGTGATGGATAGCAATGAGAATGTGCTTTTTCTCATAGTGCATACAAATTCCTTGCTGTCCATCAGGACCCCGCTTATGGCCAAATGCAGGGATAGGGTCACATATTGGTTTAGAAGAAATTTGTTCAAACACAGAAGAAATCTGCTCATTCATAACTCATTCTCATTCATAACTTGTGGAAGTCGGGCTTTCCATCTTACATTTTGCAAAACCAACGCTTTGCACAACCCATGATGGGAAGTTGTATTAAGGCAAGTAATATAACTGTGCAGGCCTGCAAGATGTTAAGTTTTATAGTTACATGCACACGTATACACTTCTGAACATAAGCAAACCCATACTAATATATTCTGTGTTCTCAAGACACAAGATAGCCTTCAGTTATGCTGCTTTCTCCATGAATCAGACTATTATGTTCCCCCGTTGATTACGTTTGATTTTCCTCACTTCTCTTTTCTAAGTAGCATGTGTTTCCCTTGCCAAACACAGGGAGAACAATCTCCTTTACCAAGAAATATGGCTTTGCCTACAGCTGCTTCTTGCTTTATTTATTAACATTTATTGGCAACCTTTTACCCCCCTCTAGATTCATCATGGCTTTGAGCCAGAGAGAAACAGCCAGTGTTTCCCTCACATCCATGCACCTAAAGACCCCTCTGATGTACAGTCTTCACTCACCGCATATCCAGATGGGAATCTTGCACCTCCTGGGGCACCAGGGGAATGAACCTGCAACAGAACCAACAAGGAACCATCATCTCCATCTTGAGTCATGCTGAAGGCTCTGCTCTTGCAGAGACCAAACCAATGCCGTGTTGGGGAGCAGGTTCTTTACCGGGTGCCTCTCACGCTCTGCAGATCTCCTGGCTCTAACGCGTGTTGGCAATGCAAAGCCATCATCCCTGGAATTTGCATTTTCCTGCATGAGAAGGAAGCGGCATCCATCTGAGCAACTAGTACTATCCCTTATATAGCACTGTGCAATTAGCTTAGCTTAATCACAAAAAAAAAACACACAGTCAAAATGTTGCAATTTTGAGATTTAAATTTTAAAATGCTTAGCCTTTTCCATGTTAACAACCGTGAATTATCTACTTGCTGCTGTGGAAGTGTTAACATTCCTAGCTATTAGAATTAACAGGATATCTCAATATACAGCAATTACTCCCTGGATCACACAGGGGAGGTAGCTCTTGGGAGCACTTGCAGGAAAAAAAAAAAGTCCTGAATTCATCTCATTTTTTCCTAGAAATAATGGGCAAGACATTTAGAAGGTTAAAGTTAAGGAAAGGTAAAACCTAAGCAAAGTGCTTTAAAGAAATGTTGGTTAGTCCAGCCCTAGGTGTTAGGCTTGCAAGGATGATGGGGTGCTCAATAAAGGCAAATTTCAGATAAAACTCTGCCTGGACTTGTGGAGGAGGAAAGGTGGATGCTGTCTGCACCCATGGGGTGTTTCCCAGTATATCCCAGGTCCAAAGGTTTTGGAGGCTGCTGCTCCGTGGTCCTCAACCAGTCTCTTGATGGATGTGCCTACAAGTAAGGACTATGGGGAGTCCTGTTTGGGTGAATTTAACTGGCTGGACAATGCTTTCGCCTAGTGAGTAATGAGGCTGGGAAGTTTCTGATCCACCAAAATATGTAAAGGAAAATTGTTTGGGGTCCAATTAAAATTGAAATGCTCCTTGAAACATGGCAAGGACAGAGACAGAAGAGATGAAAACAAGGTCAAGGAAAGGCATGGACTGTTCAGAAGCAGCCACCTCAGGCGATTTGTGCGGACGGGCTGGAAAAACATCCCTCAGGTTTAGGTAGAGATGGTTTGGGTGGATTGGGTGCTACCATGCAACTTCTTGCATGTTCCTGTGCGCATCCAGGGTCCAGAGCGCCTCTGTCTTGCCCTGGATCACAGCTTCCCTGCAGACCAGGCGCCACTTGCTGTACAATTTGCACATGCACAAACACCTTCCCAAGGGAAGAGCAGTGGCCAGGCAAGCCCACAGGTTGCCAAGACCTCTCTTGGAGTTTTTGCATGGCGACCCGTACATATTCGATCTCAAAAAACTCTCATTTACTGAGGGCATGGGAAATTGCTGGGGGTAATAACTGGCCTTCGCACGGCAATTCCTCTGCAATTTCAGCATTTTCCTGCTTTGAGATGCCAGCAATGAGACGAATAGTAGAAAGGCTGCTGCTTTCTAAAGCGACAACATCCTGATAGAAGGTAGCAGTGTAAAGGGAAAGGAAGGGAGAAAAGAGAGAAAGGACAAGGGAAAAAACATATATAGAGAAAATGGAAATAAAAAGGGAAGTAAAGATAGAGAGAGAAAGAGACACAGGAAAGGGAAAAGTAGAAACTGGGTAGAAAAATTAAGTGCCAGTCACATTGTATATACAGATACAATCAGGGGGTTTATCTGAATTAACTTGGAAAATGACTAGGTTCAGCTCTGCTAAACCTCTCTGGAAAAACTACTTAGAGTAAAAATAGTGTCAATTATTAGTGTTTTTTTTTTTTTTTTTCCAAAATGTCCTGCAGACTGGAAAAGAGGTGGGGGGAAAGGGAGTGAAAAAGGAGGCAGAAAGCTTAGGAAAATTGATCCAAGCAAGCTTTAGGCAGGAATTTACAAAGAATTAGGCTTGGAGGGCCAGATTGCCTGGAATTAAAATGACCCTAACGTGAACCGAGATGCCTGGGAGGAAATCTGAGCAGGTGGAAGAGCTTCATGTTCCTTGCAGCTGCATCGGGATGGGCTGCAGACACTGGAGATGGAGGAGGCAGGAGCCAGCAGGATGGGTCCAAAACACCAAAGAATTGAACCATGGAGAAGGCAACTGGCCACTGCTTCTTACTCAGGTGCTTGCACCAGGTCCCTTCCTGGTTTTTCTCTTTTTATCCTTTAATCTGCTTTCACCATTAACACCAACCAGGCAGAAATTACACTTCTGAGATCAAACTCCTGGGCTATTTCAGGCTGCCCATCCCCAAGGCCTCCTGAACCTTCTATGGGTAAAATTCACGATAGCTGCTGCTGCTAAAGGGAAAACAACGGGCTCTATTTTCCCTGCTTGTTTTGCTCCTCTGATAAGCTCCATCAGGATACAGCAGCCACCAGGGACCTGTCTGGCTTCTTCAAATGATGCTGCCTCTACCAGCATGGTGATCACTGAACATGGGAGAAGCAAGGGTGCTGCCCAGGTGCTCATCTTTTCAATGATTCCTCCCTTGATGGAGAAACCAATAACTACAACCAACCAACTAAACATACCACTAGTGTCAGACAGCATTGATAATGCAAGCAATATTCCAGAGAGCCTTGGAAAACCAGCCCAAAAGAGCTGGAGATGATCTCCTATAAAATCAAAGGGCAAAACATTGCCTCATCTGCCTGTATGCTGGTTCTGATAACTCAGACATCAGCAGACAGGGAGACGGATAGAGAGACCTTCTTATCCCAGCTTTCTATGCCCTGCTCTCTGGGTTAATCAGATTGATCTCTAATTTCTCATGTGAAATGTAAGCTTTCAGTTTCCATTCTCCAGCTCTCACTCTTCCTTTCGCCGCAAGATTAAGGAGCCCTTTAACATTCTATGCTTATTCCCCGAGGAAAGCTCTTCTGCACAGAAATCAAGTCCTCTTGGTCATCCTTTAGTTCTACTAAAAATCCTGTGATCTTTAGGCCTCTCATGATAAATGAGTCTGCATCCCCCTGCAGATCAATGCCGTAGCTTGGCTCTGCACCTTCCTCATCCTTAAAAAGGACAGTGGGCTCCCAAACAGGACACAGGAGTCTTGTTTTTGTCCCTTGGGGTTGGATAGAGGGATGAAGTGAATTGTTCGCATCTCTGATTACTGAGGATGGGGCTTTCTGCCAAGATCTCACAGCGGGAGCTGCTGACATTCAGCATGGCCAAGTGAATCCATTCCCTTACCCTACTGCATCTAGGTCCCTGGATGCATTTAGCTCCCTGAAAAAGAGGGATCCTTCCCTCTCCATCGAGGAGGAAGATGCTGTGTCTGCTAAGGGATCTGACATTAAATCCCTCCACGCAGGCACCCATACAAAGCTGCAAGGAGTCTCCTTCAGGAGGAATCACTTGCATGGCTATGGCCTGCAGCTTCAGATGGAGCCACGGATTTGGGACACCCAAGTTCATGGTCCCCAGATGCAGCTCCTGGAGGACTGAGCTGTTTAGAATGGGGAGAGCTGCATCTGGGGACCATGAACTTGGGTGTCCCAAATCCGTGGCTCCATCTGAAGCTCTCCCCAACAGGACAGACCTGCAGCCTAATCCCGGGAGAAATGAGGGGGTTTGGGCTCTATGCTAGCAAAAAGGAATCTCTTTCCAGCTTAAACATGCTGGGTCTGCATCCAATGGATGCTCAGTCCCAGAACCATCATCTCCAGAGCTGCAGTTTACATGCATGCACGTGTGTGCATGTGCATGCGTGTGTGTGCACAGCCCTCTTGTGGCTGCTGCAGCAAAGGTGGTTCCAGCTTCTCTCTGCAGTTCAGAGTGGTTTTAGTTTGCAAGGAGGTTGCTAAAGCGAAGGGAGCACAAGCAAGTTTTTGACAGGCTACTCAAAAACAGGGTTCGCTTCTTCACACAAGCACCTCAGTGCATAAATGCATTTAAATCGGATAAAAGCATTTGCATTTATAAAATGGCCTAGAGAGTGCACGTTCGTTTGTCAGCATCTATAAGAGCTGGAAGACACTAGTTTCCTACTCAGACCTTAAAATCCTCTTTTTTAAGGGGGGGCCATCCCTTAAGGATGCAGCAAGATGTACCAAAGCTGGGCTCCGAAGGGCACATGTCAGCACTTAAGATGCCATCCTGAGGGTCCAGGGATTATTACTGAGCATTTGTAAACAGTAGAAAGGAAAATCTTATCAGTAAGTGTATCTTATATTCATTATCTGGGGTCTGCATTGCCTGTAGAATATTAGAAGCCTGGCGTTTTAAAACAGAGCTGATTACTAATGGCTGTTCAGCTGACCAAGTGTGAAAGATAGAATGCATGCTGAAGCCCAACTTATTCAGATTAGAAAAAAATATATATGATTTTTAAGTAGGTAATTAACCACCCACATTTGCCAAGGGCTCTGTTGGGTTCCCACAGCCCTGCATGCATGCGGAGGACAGGGCTGGCTGTCAACCTCACCTCCCCTCACCACCCAGGAGCAGAGGTCTCCTGGGGAATGGGGTAGACGGTCCCGAGACCAGCCAGGTGTGTGAGATGGTCACCACAGCCCTTATCTATCTATCTATCACTTATCTCCACATTGGTCTATCACCTGGCACTGCTGGGGAGGGCGTACATGGCTGCTTTCCTTCTGCTCTGGCTGTCCTTCCAGCTTCTCCTCCAAGGGCTTAAGAAGCTCCACGGGCTGGTTACCTTGCAGGTCATCTTCAGAGTGTGGCGAGGGCACAGCTGAGCTCTGCAAGGGATGATGTCCACAAATGAGTGACACATTAACAGAGCAAAAGATGGAAGGGGAGACCATTTTCCCAGCTGTTACACTGATTCATGCAGACACTTTCATTAGGCCCTTGTGCTCTCTGTAACTTAGTTTTTTACTCAGTGAGATAGGGTCAAAACTCACAGACTTGCAAGGTTTTGTCCAATCAATCTCTTGGAAATGTTATCCCTTTGCATCTTTTATATTGTCACATACAGAAACATAATCAAAAGTCACCGAAAAGGCATTTACATACACTGCAGAGAGGAGTGTTTGATCCACTTGAGTTTCTGTCTTTCCTTCTCTCCTCAGGCTGGTTCTCTAAGAACCCCATCACTTTCTCAGAACGGTTACCCATGGGCTGGTACTCTGGTTCATGATCAGGAGCAGATGGACCCTGTGGAGGCAAAATAAAGTTTTTGTTTTTCTGAAGCAAATCCCCACCATCCTGCTTTATCAGCACTGCTGTTTATTCAACAGCACATTCAGAGATGATTGGAACAAGAGGCAGGTTGGAGAGGCAGTTTGCTGAGATCTTCCTTGCACATCATTTGGGAAGTGCTGAGGAGGATGGGCTGGGGCAGGCTGCAAGGAACTCCAGGTGAAATCCAGCCTAAAGAGGCTGTTCCAGGTTAACAGAGAGGGTATTTGCAAGTGCTGAGCAGTGCTGGAAATCAGCACCTCAAGAGTCAGAAGCCAATGCTGGAGACAACAGTGAAATTATTCTTTCTGGCTTAAATTAACAGAACTAAATTCTCCTCCAGAGCACCCAGAGCACTTTCCATTTAATCATTTCTGAATGCATGTTTTTTTTTTTTTTTTGGACCCTGTGAAACTCCCCTGCTTGGATTTACTGGGTGACTCTCAGCAGCTTTAGCTCTTTTTCTAGTGTCCATCTCCAACTGCCTGGCTGGAGTCCCAGCAGCACATCAGTATCTCCCCAGTCTTTTATGACAGATTTAGGGAACTGGGAAGAAGCAGTAGTGCTGAGATGAAAACAAAAGTGAGTCTGGGCTGGAGAAAAGGGGCCAACATTTTGCCTGTTCTCATCTGCAGCCCAAAGGGCGCTCTTTGTTCCAGGGTTCTTTTCTTACCAGGATTGGAACTGGTAACACAGTGCTAATATCTGCAAAGCTCAGTCTCCTGGAGAATATCTGTTCATCTAACACATAGTAGGGCCAAGTTTCCATGACACAGTCCCTAATAAGCCCAACAGAGCCATTTTTTGTGTCTTTATACCCAAATCTCAGCACTGCTGGTTGCAGGGGTTGCTTGCACATATTCGGTTGGGGACCTCTGGTGCAAACACACCTACTGATGTTTGTGCAGCTCTGTGGCCCTCCCCACCCCTTAGGCACCTAAAATGCTGTCATATGGGTCATCAAGAAAAGCTACATCTCACCTGTGATTATGGTAGGAGCCTGGAGCAGAGAAGGGATGAGTCTGCCTAACCCTCTCTAAGTGCCTGAGCAACTGGGCTGTCACTGAAGCAACCACTGAGGATAAAAAAGGTCTTTGGCAGCTGACTCCAAACACCCCCACAGTTCTTGTGCTCATTTCCTACCAATGAGTAGGAAGGTTTATGGACAGTGAGTCACTTCTTGGCTGCCATAAAGACAGAATTAGAAAAGTGTCACCTTGTGAGAACTACTGCCTGGACTATCCCTACAGGGCTATCGCAGCTATCTGTATGCGCAACTGAAGATCCATGAATACAACAGCAGCTATGAGACATGGCCTGAATACAGCCAGAGGTGTGTTATGCCACAGAAGAACCCAGATACAGCATAGATATTAAGCCTTAACATCACTAATGAATTCCTTATTGCCCATAATTACAAACTTGCAATTGCAAAGGAATCATGTGACTAATTATCTCTAGTTACTAGCCTGATTACTCAAGCAAATGAAGTCTGCGAGGTGACACTGTCTGGCCAGTCCCTCTCTCGGGGAATCTGAACCCAATCTAACAGGACTGGATCCATCCCTTCCTGCGCAGGAGAGACACATCTAGATGTCAACCTTGAAGTGAGGAGTTGCGGAGTATGTTTAGCAGCATTCTGGCATATAACCAGTACAGGTATGGCTGGAAAACTGCTACAGCCTGTGCTGATTTTTGCTCAGACAGTAATATAGAAGAGGAGGAGGAGCTGGCATTGGGTGGAGAGAAGGGAGGAGAGATATTAGCAGTAGGAATCACTGGAGCCTGGACTGGGAGCCCACAGACATCAGGTATGCAATCGTTTAATATTAATATCTGGTCTGCTGCAGCAGATGGACAGGAGCACAGATCAACATGAACTGGATTTTGTCTGCTCTGCTGCTTGTTCTTACCTTAGTGAGTTGCTCTCCAGACACCGGCATCCCAAACTGAGTCTCCACAGCTTGATTTTGGGCTTCTTCGCTGACCCCTTTGCTGGCCACAGCATCACGGGATCTATCAAATGTATCCTGCAACAACACAGATAGCAGGTCAGTGTGGCTGTGACAAATCTGAGCTTGTCATACGTGTGTGACAAGCTGCATCCTAAGTTGTTTCTCCCTACTTCCCCTGGATATCCAGAATGCCCTGCCCCATTTGGTGGCCTTCCTCTCTTCCCTGGATATCTAAGGAGCAAGCAGGCAGCAAATGCTCACCACTTTCAGGCTTTCTTTCCCAGCTAGCCCTGCATCCCTTCGCTTTTGAGGCCACGGTCACGGTTACTTCCCTTGCACTCAGCCCCTTTTCTCCCCTAGCACACTCAACACTCCAGCAACAACCAGTTGGGTCAGGGGTCTCCTGCTCAGGAGTCACAAGGAGTCACAAAAAGAGTGGTCAATTGATTCTTTAATTTCTCTAAACTCACTCTGAAGAAAGACTGCCTTAGCTCAACTTTTAGATTAAGGATGTTGATGTGAGCCATTAGCATCCTCTAGCCCAAAACTTGTTATTACCGGGTTTGCAAGTCATTATAAACTGCTTTTTAGCAGATAACCCTCCAGCCTCCAATGATTCATTTGCTTTGCTGTCTCCTCCTCCTCCTCCTCCTCTCTCCTTTTGCTTCAGGTCTGCCTGCCCCATGAAGAAGACAAATACTCACGCTGTGGTCAGGGACTTGCTTAGCCTCCTGCTTCCTCTTGGATGCCTTGCTTTTCCTGCAGCTGCCCAGTTGCTGGATCAGCCCTTCCAGTCCATTCTGCAGGAGTGCATTGGTGAGGTCCTTCAGCAGTGCCAGCTGCAACCAGGGGACAAATTCAAGCAATGGTCCAGAGCCACCCAGCTGCTCATGAGATACCCAAGAGTGAACACAGCCATCCTGATATGAAGGTCAACGTGTTTCCAGTGTGACTTGCTGCTGTTTCACAGGTCACTTGATCACCTTCGCAGCCAACAGCTGGTTTAAATGCAAGTGCCTACCGTTTAGGTGTCTATTGAAGGAAGACGATTTTTTATAATGAATAGAGAGCAGGTTAATGGTGCTTATGCTGCAACTTTCCCCACCATGAATAAAATATCTATCTTTGGATAGAGTCCCTAGCCTCCCTTGGTCAAGCCCCCCAGAACTGAGCTGAAAGTGAGGAGCCTACATGGTAAGTAAGTGCCTACATGGTAGATACTAAAAGCTGAGATTTATAGAAGTCTCTGAGTGTGGTGGTAACCTTAAGAGCAGAGCGAGAGTTTCACCAGCCCAGCATCACTATTACTTGTGTTAGGAGTTAAACAACAACCCAAACTGGTCCTTGTGCTACACACTGCTCATATATTAAGGCAGTTGGTCTATGTCATGATGACTTTTCTCTGGGTTCCACAGATGGGTAGCTATTGCACGTCCTGATGTCAGATGAGTGTCTAACAGCTTGGGACATGCAAAGTTAGAGTCAGACATCCTTTGGAGAGCACATCTTTGCCAATGAGGGCTCCCAGAGGCAAAAGTCTTGGCCATTGACTGCAGCCAGAGCACTCAGAGGTCATGTGGGTCTCTTCTTGGTGGCTGTACAGAGAGAATGCTGAAGCAAGGCCACCTTGTCAAGAAAGAATGTCAAAGCATTACCTACCTTGATGCCATTTGCTTCAAAAAACCTCTCCAGATCCTGTATGAAAAATGAAGAGCATAAACATGAACTCAAGCACATGCCTTGAAGAACAGAGCAAAGCCCTCCTCTGAGTTACAACCTGACTCCACTGCCTTAGCAATCCATGGAAACACTGATGATGCCTTGGAGATGGCTCAGACATTCAATCCTGTGCTACTCTGGATGTGAACACCCAGATTAGCTCTTTCCAGAGCATCTTCTCGTTTGGATTTTATCAGCATTAATCAGCTTGGGGAGGGATTCATTTCACAGTTAAATCTGAGCTGGTCAGCTATGGTTCCCATGTCAGTGCAAGTATAGGGGATTTGCAGAGGATAGTTTATTTATCTCTGTTTTGAAAGGGATCCAAGGTGATCTCTTAGCTGCATAACCAGGGTACCATCTCCCACTCATAATAGGGCTGCCCAACCTGCCTAAAAAGCAGAAAATTCATCCCAGGATGGACTCCCAGGTTGCCTAAAACAGGGGCAATATCACACAAACGTGACTGATGAGGCTGCCTGAGGGCACACACAGGCTCAGCTCCAGAGTTCCCTGTGCCATCCATGAATCCCCTCTGCTGTCCCTACTCCTGGACAGAAAGGGAGGTGGCCCAACATAATACACTATACAATTTTCACTTTATTTACCTTCATTTCCACTCCTTTGCCTGGTGGACCAGGATCTCCCTTCAAGCAAACAAGAAAACGTTAGCCATTAATTAGGTCATTAATCTGATGAGCAGGAAGAAGAGGAGCTCGGAGGAGGGTGGCTTTAGAGCATTGCAAATAGGGTTTGTGTATCCAGCCCTTACTTTGCTACCACCTGTCTCTGTGACCCTGGACAAACCCCTGTTGACCAAGGAGGGGGTTTAATCCCACCCTGGGGAGTTCTCCCATGGGCACAGACACTGGTTGCACTTCTCATGATGGGAGGTGGCTGTGGTGCCAGTGGCACCACTGTCCGGTTCAAATATCTCCAAAGTCGGAGGGCTCCTAACCATGTGTCCCATGGATGGGCTGGCTGGATGCACTCGTACAGCGCAGCACGGCTCCCGAGGAGAGGGATCGAGGCATCCCTGGGATATGAAATACCAGAAGAGCTACCGTTGCTGCTGCTGAGAAGCTGAATTAGCAGCTAGGAGATCCAGCAGCAAGGCGAGAAGCACGCGATGAGGCAAGAGGCTGAATTCCCTCTCTGATGGGCTTCATTTCACTGAAATCTGGTTCCTGTGCACAGATTCCGGTGGAATGAAGGGCGTCAGAAAGGCACCGATGGTGACAGCTGCCAACGCACGATGGTCCCATGCTCCAGGCAGGAGAATGCAAGATGCTGCAGGGCAAATGAGCCACGTTACAAGAACATGCTGGCTGTCATTGAACCTGTCATTTCCATAGGGTTGGGTCCCTTGAGACCACATGGGGACCAAGGTCTTCGAGGTGGGAGATCAGGGCTCCCCACACTCATACTGTGAATGGGATGCACTTAAACCTCGTCATCTCCACCCTGCTCTGGATAAAGCCTTCAAGGTGAAGGAGATGCTGGGCTGCTTGTGGGTTTGTTCTTTGCTTATTTTCCTATTGCCTTTTCCTTTCAGAAAGGTGTACGTCTGCCCCACAGCACAGCTGGAGAAACTCAGTGCTCAGAGCAGTACAGATCTCAGCCCTGGACCATTCAAAAGGCGGATGGATAAAACTGGATCCTGTCTAAGGTAGGAGAGCAACCTGCACCTACTGGTGCAGCTTTCTGTAGCATTTTCCTCTCTGACAGGTGAAATATTTGGCCCCATCTCTAAAGATGCTGAGATAGGTGTTGTATCAGGAGCCTTTTCTCCTTCCATCCCTTTCCAATTTGCTGTCTAGCTTGCAGGATGGGAGCAAAGGAGGGGAATATCCCCAGAATTTTAGGAACTAATTTTGTCTCTAGCTCCTGAGCCTTGTCTTTCTGCTTAAAAGCATCACTGTCACTACAGATTAATGAGCCCAGATGAGAAGCTCTTCTTCAAAAATCATGCCTTGATGGGGTATGAGAAATTTGAGGTGAGTGCTCTTCCTCTCTGGCCAGCCCAACACCATAGCACCAACACAAAGATGCCTCCATGCATTTAGGCACATACCTTTGGGCCCGGAGGACCTCTTTCGCCTTTCAAGCCATCCTTCCCAGGATCTCCCTGTAAGTCATCAGGAACACATTAGCTCCAGTTCTTCTCCCTCTCTAAAATTCTCAGGGGAGAAGCTGGTTTCACGATTCATTATGGTGTTTCCCTTGCACTGGTCCCAAGTCAACTTGCCTTTCATGTCCATGAGGACCAGCAGCCTTTTCCCTTAACTATCTCATTGATTCACATCATTAAGTTAAAATGTGGGGCAATTCTGCTCTTCACTTGAAATTTGCTGCGTTTACTTTGGACCTAAAGATGGGCTTATGTGTCATTTCTGTTTTTTCTTTCGTCCAGCTGTCTCCTCTGGGATAATAACTGGTATTACAAAACTTTGCCTCGACTTCCCTGTCATTAGCTTGGCTAATGAAACAACAGAATCGAGATAGAAAAATTTGGGCCTGAGTGCTCTGAGTGAGACATGGGGATGGAATTGACCTCCAGAGATACTGTCTGTAGTTCTTGTGCTTTTGTGGTTCACCATTAGCTTTGCCTGTGACCCAGGCTGGGTATCCCCACACAAGTGCTGGGGGGAAAATCAGCAAACCAAGCTCAGGTCCCTGCAAAGCACCTGCCCTAGCTGTACAGCATCTGTGTCAGCCTTTCCATCCAGTACAGACAAATTTAGGTAGAAATTGATGCTGTGGCTGGTCTGCCTCCTCCTTGGCTGGCTCATTTCCTCCCCTGTCCCCTGCTGCACGGCATACAAAACAAATGGACAATTCACAAACTTTGTTAAAATCAGGGAGAGGGGGGTAATTAAATTCTTCCTCATCTCATTGGGCTACTCTCTTTAACAAAGAGATTACATAGATTATGCCATGCTTCTGCCTCTCTTCCTTCACCAGACAGATGCTGTGTGGCACAGCCAAAGATGATCCCTTGCTGTTTACTTTGCTAAACAGAGTGTAGTAAGGGGCCAAGGAGCTGCTTAGAGACAGATCACAACTTGTGTGTGCCCCAAGCAGGACACACTGGCCTCTGGCATGTAGTCATCAGGGCTTGAGCACTATGTTCAGTGGACTTTTTTTTCACAGTGCTGAAAAAAAGACGGACTAAATCCTTTTCTGCTGTTTTCAATTACTAGGATTTCCATTTGTGCTGGATCCATCCCACTGTGAGCCATCTCAGTGCTGCTGCTAGATAAAACCTCCTCTAGACCTACCCACAAGCAGAGCTATTGCTATAGTAAGGGAGCTACTATAAAAGCAATAGGCCTGCTGTTCTGGAGAAATTCACTGCAGTTATTCCAGCATCCAAATCATCTTATTGACTTTTGGCAAAGCGCTCAGGCTCACAGCAAACTGAAGTTTCTGAATGGTTCTTACCGATACCTGAGTAGAAATGTTCACTCTGGGTTGCCCTGCAGAAACACAAAGCCCTGGAAGGAGAATTGAACTCCACACTTCCCCAGCATCATCAACAGCAATTCACTGGATTGTGCCTAGAGGATCTTTGTTGTTGCACATGGGAATGGCGAGAATTTGCTTAAGGAACTTGGCATTTTGGGGCTGCATTTGCAGACTTTGACTTATAAAAGTAATGAAGCTAGGGCAATGGTATAAAGCTTGCTCAGAGCTTCTCAGAATCGCTTTGATTCTTTGTGTTGCAAAATATACAACAAATGCAAAATAAGCAAGTATTCAGTTTCTACTCAAAGCTTCTCCAGCAAAGAGGAAATCTTACCTTGTCACCTTTCAGGATGCTGGTGTTCTCCAGAGAAGACACCTGCAAAACCAGAAGAAAAGTAGCTCTCAAAGGGGAAGGAAATGTCTCTGATATAAGCTCCCTCCTCTATGTGCCTTTTATCCCACTTAGCCTTTACTCATAGGCACAGAGCCCCGGATGGCTACGTGTTAGCAGAGAAGGATCTTGGCATATCCTGAAGCAAAAATACTCCTCCCAGCTTTGAAGGGAACAGAAGGTGTTTTGGTATTCCCACATGACACTCCCAAATATGCCAGGGTGTCCATAGTGCAAAATACATAAGAGATGAGTGATGGGGATCCAGTAGATAACAACTGAAAACAGGGCTAGGGCAACAAAATGGTGTGGGTTTCAAAGAGCATGTGGTGAGTTGTATGCCAGAGTACCTATCTGCACATTAATGTGCTGAAATATCTTCCTGATCTCCTAAATGAACTTTCAAGATCTCCTAGATCCCAGCTTTCTATGATCATTGCTTTCTCTTTTACTCTTACTCATCTTGACGTCAGGCCACTTGTCCAACGGAAAACTCAGTGCAAAGGCACAAGAAAATCCTGAGCATAAGATTTCCCACCTATCTAAGCTCTTCTTTTCCTAGGAGACATCCATCTCTCTGCTGTGACTATACAAGGTGCCCAGATGACTTGATTACACAACAATTATTGCCCAAAAGTATGAGATACGTTTGTATTTATGGTTTACTCTATTTTATGTCAACTCAGTGCAAAGGCACAAGAAAATCCCGAGCACAAGATTTTCCACCTGTCTAAGCTCTTTTCCTAGGAGACATCCATCTCTCTGCTGTGACTATAGAAGGTGCCTGGATGACTTGATTAGACAACAATTATTGCCCAAAGGTATCGGATACGTTTGTATTTATGGTTTACTCTCTTTTATGTCACAGATTTCTTGCATCACCAGTAACAAGTCATTTGGGATGAGACTGAATTAACCACGCATGTACATTTCCATAGAGATGCTGGCTGCCTTGCTGTGCATTGCTGTGATAAAACCAGGAGAACCCACGCCATCGTGCTCTATACACCCTATTGCAAGCAGTAATTTCTAGCAATGTTTCCTCAGTGGTACTCAGGACTTGTGATATATCTTGATGTATCCTTCCACCAAACAAATATATCAGTCAACAAAAGTGTACATCTTACTCACAAGACTCCCAGGAGTCCCAGGCAGCCCAGGTTTACCCTGTGAGGATACAACACACTCATAAGAAAACTGAGTGGTGAAATTCTGCATTTTCAGCCCCACGACAGACTTTCTCTCATGCAAGGTTATAAATGTGAAAATGCAAACCTACAGATTCACCCTTCTCTCCCTTCTTTCCAGTGATTCCCTAGGAGGTAGAAAGAGAGGCAAGATGAGAACAAGTCCTAGCAGGGGAGTGGGCCTCAGCAGTCTCCCCTCTTCTTGCCAGCTGAGCATCCTATGGACTAACAAATCCATCCTCAGGCAGCTGAACTAACGAAATCTGAACTTCAACATGCATCCTGTTGGTGAGTTCCTTGATATTTAATAAGGGGTGAGATTATTAGCCTCTTTCTCAGTGGGTGGACTCATTAGGGAGTCCCTCTCCCCTACTCAGCTGCTCAATTTCAGAAAGTTTGTGGAAATGCTGTTTCTTTGAGAATCTCTATCCCTCTGACAAATTAGCTGAAGTTAGCCAGTATTTTCCCAAAGCTATTAGGGGAAGATCAGACAGACACAGTGTAAGTGCATCATTTCACATCCTTCTTCAAAGAAGGAAGCATTTCTGTTTCAGCAGTGTGAGCCTGGGGAAGTTTTGCCCACTTGGAAACCTCCAATGCGCAGCCCTGTCACTTAACTTGTGTTTTAGTAGTCAGACAGGAAGAGAGAATTACTTCTACTCCTTCATTTGGAGAGGAGAACCCTGACCTAGCAGAGAGTGGAGCTTTCTGTGACTTGCAGACTACAAAGGGGGAGAAGTATGATCCTCTATTTGGCTGGTATTGCACTATTCCCTCTCTTAACTGTTCCTTTAGCGATTGTCTTACATCCTTTCCAGGTTGTCCTGTATCTCCTTTTATCCCCTGCTCTCCAGGCCGTCCTGGGAGTCCTAGTGGACCCTACAAAAATCATTAGAGAAGTGAAAAGAAATGGAGTGAGTACAACAGCTCAAAAAATAGTAAACCAAGGAGGAAAATCTCTGTCCTTCACTGGAAGGGGCATCTTCAGAGAAAAGCAACCTCCAGGCATATTCTATCCAAATCTGAGCTCCCAACAAACTGCAATACGAGACTCCTGAATCCAAGGCCAGGAAATCTCCCTAGGGAAAGGTGGCATTGCATTGCAGATGCTTGCCCTCATGGCCCAAACACAGACCAAATCATGCAAGTTACTGTTCTCCTTTTAAATTCTTTCCAAAATGAAGGCACATAAATTGCAGTGTCTGGATGGTGAGTCAATTAATAACGATAACAGAGTACCTAATAACAGTAATAACAGAGAAGATTTTTTTTTCTTTTTCTTTTTTTTTTCCTCTGAAAAGGCATAAACCAAAGGCAAAAATAAGAAAATAAAAGCCCTGGGCAAGATGAAGATGGTTTGGACCAGTCCTATGTCGACACTTGTTCCTACTTACTATTGCAA